AGTAATTAAACGTTTGATGAGAATTCACTGGCGTTCGAAAATTATAACTTTTCCTGGCCAAAATGTCGTATATTTTCCGGTTGATAAGGGTTAGCAAAATCACAGTTTATAGATTACACGGTTATAACAATCTCCTAGTAGACATGTCTGTTCTCTGTTGTTTTTTGGCGCGTCGCCTTTTATAGGATTTTCTCAACAATACTGAATTATATTTAACCAGGTACGGAAGTGGATATATTGTTGATTCTTGTATTCACGAATATTCTTCAATCTTGGAGAACTGACGAGAGTTTTCGCCATACGTAACTAACAAGGTAAGCTAGACAGCCCTCAAATATAAACTTATTCGAAACAAACGTTGGCATTAAAATAGATATATAACAAATTCGTTATACGCAACACGTATCTGATGCTACAAGTCACGCATATTTCTAAATACAAATTTAATCAAACAATGTGCATATTAAAAATGAATACATAATAATAAATTCGTTACAAATACAACAATAACCTGAATGAACGTTAGGTCTACACGAGTAATTGCTTTTACGTTCAATTTTCTGAATATTGGGCTGTAACGTGCGGATGTTTGTGATTTACCGTAAAATGTAATGGTTGTCGTTGGGTTTGTTTGTTTGTTTGGAATTAAGCACAAAGCTACCCAATGAGCTATCTGTGCTCTGCCCACCACGAGTATCGAAACCCGGTTTCTAGCGTTGTAAGTCCGCAGACATACCGCTGTGCCACTGGGGGGCTTGTCGTTGGGTGTTTGTCAGTTCTGTTAATGTTTGTTTATGTGTTTGTGAGCCATACCCCGAAGCTAACTAATCCTAACATGCGGTTATAAATTACTATTGTGTAGATGAAAACTGTTTTGAGATACAAAAGTGTATATTTCTAGTTTCCCAAAAATTGGTTGGGAAAACTTTTAGGAATACAAGTTATTTTAAATGATATAAAAATGCTAGAATCATTCGAAAAAAAAATGCTTATGTCCAATAGGTAAATGCGTGAATTTGGAGGACCTTTGAATATTTTAATAATGCCTTTTTTGCCTCTAACTTTTGAATTATTAAGAGTCCTAAAGGGTGGTACACCCCGTCTTTTGAATAACTTGTCAACAAAGATCCGAATATGTTTCACAGTAGATAATATGGTAAAAAACTACCTGAAAAAAATAATTTAGCTTCGGGTACGAACTCCAATGTTTGTCGTCAATTTCTTGTTGGTTGTTATCGTGATATCACAGTTAGTTAGCGCCAGACAGGTTTTTAGTAATAATTTAATATATCAACACAACATTTTCTAAGTTGCATGGTCTGCGTTCAGAAGCGACACAAATACATCATGCTTTCTACAATATGTTAATATTTATAATACATTAATAGTAAAGCTAACGACTATTAAAAAATCACTACATTCGACGACCTGTATAATCCCAAAAGATATTTATTCTAGTTTTAGTACGTACAGTAACTCACAGTTACCGAAACACTTGACAGAACATAGTTATAACTTTATACGCACATAATAAAAAATATTTAGACGTTACAAACATAGTTCGTGAGTAAATAAAACCATTTCATTAAGTTTGTTTAGATTAACCTTAAGTTCATTCAGATTTGATAATTTCCAAATCTAATAGTAGTCACTAAAATACATTGCTATAATAACAGTAATTTAATCAAAACTACAACAACATAAAAATTAAATGAGTAACAAACAAAATACTGTACATATTAGAAAATGCGCAATTTAAACGAAGACTACATATTGTTCAATGTTGGTGAAAATTTTTTAATATGGAGGATTTCTTTTGTTAGTAATTCCAAACCAGTGTTGGCTTTGCGAAGGATATTGAAGTTTGATACGTTAACTTCATGTTCTGTGTCTTCACCATGTTGCTGTATAGATGAATCACAGGGGTTACTTTATTTTTTTTGTTTTCATGGAAATTTCCATATGTTCATTTGCTGTAGCTAGTAGATGGCGTTTGAGTTTGTCAATATAGGAGGCTTTACAGTCTCCACACGTGTAAATATATATACACTGAGTGGTCACAAGTAAATAGACACCTGAATTTTTGGCCATTTAACTGATTTATGCTAACTAATTTGTGTTCACACAGCACTATATAAACGAAAATGGTCCGCACACTAATTATCTTGTGCTACAACATGCCTAGAGCTCAAGGTTCTCTCGAATTGTCAGATTTTGTTAGAGGAAGGATAGTTGGTCAAGCAGATTGTGGAATAAGTCAGCGGCAAATTTCGCAGAATTTGGGAATCCCGCTTGCAGGAAACACGGCAAGGAAACAATTGAGCAGTGTCCGGGTCGTCCTGGTCCATGGAGAGGACAAAAAGGGCTGTCAAGAAAAACATCGAAATGGATCCCAGATTAACGACTGCAGAAGTGGCCAAAGTTGGTGGGATGAGCCCAAAATCTGTTCAACGGATTCTCCACAGATTGGGTTATCGTTGCAGAGCAGCTAGACGGAAGCCCTTATTAAGACCTGCCAACATAGTCAGACGAAAGAAGTGGGCAAGTGATATGATGACCCTGGACTTTTGGAAGACCGTATTGTTCTCAGACGAATCAAGATTCGCTCAATTTTCGGATATGGGTCTGAAAAATGCCTCACCAAGAGTTTTGGCTCA